AGCGGCCGGAAGGGCGCACGATGGCCGCAAAGGACGCCACGCCGTTGGGCTTCGTGAACGTGAGCAGGGAAACGACAGGTGAGTTTCCCAGGACTTTCTGGTTCCTCTTTTTCCAGGGGATCTGGGGGGGGGGTATGCTTCTATTTCTTGCAGGACCCCCCTGATTGGGGAAGTGGCATGTACCAGGACGCGTTTGTTTTGGGGTTTCTGGTCCCAGCCGCTCTTTAAAAACGGGCACGCGTTTGGATTTGAGGCTCGCTGTCATCCAGGTAATGTCTCCAAACACGCGCACCGGAAGTAACGACTCCCTGATCTCGTGCGGGGCAGCTGTCCCGTCTGTCCAGCCCCGGGACTGTCCACTTTGGAAATGATTTGTCGTTTGGAGACTGGCGCAAAAAAAAAAAAAAAAAAAAAAGCCGCACTTATTGGGCGCCTGGTTATTTTTTAAACCGACTGCGCGCGCTCTCGGACGTGCGCACGTCGGGAGTTTTTTAATTCCCTTGATTTGTTTTATCCCCCCGCGCGCACGCGTTCGCGTGGGAGTTGAGATGTGACCGGCTTTGCACGCGGGGCTGAGCTTTGAGCTGGCTGAGGGGGGATCGGCCGCGCGCTGCGGTGCGCGCGTGGACCCTGAGCGCGTCCACCGAGCTGCGTCTCTCATCCCAATTATCAATATGCGTCCCGCTGCTGACCAGCTGGGCTTTGTCCAGCCCCCCTTCTGTCCGGGCCGGCCTGGAGCAGTAGGGGGCATTAGGCCTCTTAACCTACCTGCCAGTTTAGGACCAGTGGGGGGGGGGTAAGGGGGCACGAGCTGAGGTAAAAGTGAGTGGAGGTATGGCCCGGCCCTGCGGGCCTCCCCCTCCTCCCCTTCTGCCCCCCCCCTCCCTCCTTTGGAGGCAGATGCTGGGGTCACATCAGTGGGCCATTTGGTGCCCTGTAGTAGGTTAAAAGGTTTAAGTGATTGGGTCTTACCCAGCTTAATGCCAATAACCCGATGTTTGTCTTCAGTTGATCCCTCTCTCAGTGCGCCTCACCCCCCCCCACCGGGCCTCCGTCTGCCCCACCGGGCCTCCACCGGTTTTAACGTCTGCCCGTTTGCTGGGAACCGGCACAAGCACTCAAAAGGCACGCGCCTTTTGTTGCGTTTGCGAATGACAACTTCCCTTACGGTGGTTGCCGTGGGGCAGGATGTCCGGCGCGGTTCACTGGGCTTCAGCAGGGTCACCCAGCATGCTGAGATGTAGGCCCCTGAAGGGTGCTGCCCTCAAACGTCTGTCTGCCTCCACCGGGATGGACCGGCGGCTTCTTTTTCTTTCTCAGAGGCCAAAAATAGCCCCATCAGAAGTCGGCTTCAGAGGGAAACGTTGCATTTATCAGCCGGCCTTCGTGTTTTCCTCGTGGAAACATGAGCATGTTCTCTGACTGGCATCCAGATCCAAACGGGATTCTCCCGTGAACTGGTTCTAAGAAAAACTGTCTGATTCTGCGATGTGTTTAAGTGGCACGGTCTCCAAAAAAGCAACACCTGCTGGTGTCCTAAATCCAAGTCTTAACACTCTGCTGTTCAGCTTACCTTTCTATTAAGTCACTGTCAAGGCACTTTACACTGACGGAGTAGAGCTAAAAGCTACAGCTAAAAGTAGAGCTACAGATCCAAGCACAGTAACTTTTCTTTGCAACTGACTCACTCCACCTCATCACATCCTGTAAAGCTGAGAAAAACAGCAAAAAGTCACACCCGGGGTGAACTGTCTGACCCTTTGGAAAATTCACTTTAAAGTTACTCATTACCAATTTGGGGCCATTTTTTAAATGAAACATGTGTGTGGCATGCTTTGGTAAAAACACCAGAAAGATTCAATACTGAACTTCCTTTTTTATTACATGCAAATGTTTATCTGATGCAGATTTCCCTCAAACTCCTTTTGAAGACGTTCATTTTACTCTGCTAAAGGCTAATCATCAACGCTGTGAACAAATCCCTCTTTTAGGAAATAATCTAGTCATGCATCGGAATGGTCACAGTTTTCAGACATTGCCCCGTAGACTTTAAGGCTGAGGTTGTCGGTCTACTGGCCAGCAGATGGACTCAGCCTGTCCAAAGCCTCATCGTTATTCTCTCTTCACCTTTTGCTCAATTCACCGAGGCTTAGCTGTTAGTCTCTGTCTCCGTGTGTGTTTTTCTTGCTAAGAGCTGCTGCTCAGAGTAAATTTAACTGAAGTTTAGCGTTAAAAAGGCTGGGTGCAAAGCTCGGCTCATCGCTTTTCACAAGTAAAGCAAATGATTGGTTTTCTGATGAGGAAGTCATGTTAATGGCAAATAATCAAAAGAGAAGAGTTTCAACTCGGGGATTGTTGCAGGATTTGAATTTGAGTAAATGGATGTTTCCAAGCTGACAATGGGATGATACACACCCCTTTTCAAACAAACTGCCAGGGATTGGTTTAGTTAGTTTTTAAGTTGGCAGGAACAGAATACGTTTTCTCAAGCTAATACCACCTGATCACAGAGATTTTTAAACATTTCGCGGAACCCATTTAATTGCTACACAGTACCTAGTGGAGCATTTAGTTCATTGATTTAATCCATAGGCCATTCCCCATTTTCCATCAATTTGCTTTTTCAGGCTCATTTAGTGTATAAAGCAGAAAATGATAGCTTTATTATTTGAATGGTGCGTAGCTCTATCCTCACCCCACATTGACCCAAAAAGGGCAGAGCGGAGTAAAAAAACGCTCAGATTTTGTTATGATTTATGGAAGTATTTTTTAGACATAAGAAAATGAAAATAAAACGTGTAAACCCCCCCTCCCATTTATTATCAGGCCTAATGGATTTTTCCCTTGAAAGCTTTTTGCTGCATTTTCTCCTCATCTGAGGGCAGACCTGTTTCTACATTGTGTTTACACTTTTCTAATTAACTCTCCTTTGCTTTTATTTTTTTTTCTCAGAGAGCATCAGGAAGGTGCTGGACAAACAGGCCATTAAATTCGTGCGAGCCATCAAGCAGGAGACAAGAAGCGGCAAATCAGAGGACAGAATCCTGGTGAGACCCCCCCCACCCCCCACCCCCCCATTACGGTGCTGTTGTGCCAGGTCACCTGAGAATGCTCCTAATAAAGCGAAACAGGGTTTATGTTGGAGTTGTTAAGAGTGAAAGGGCGAGGCGTTGGTTCGTTACCGTTAAGGAGAACCACCAACCTGAAAGAGTCCCGAGAAGAGGGAGATTACTCTTTGTGAGACGTCCGACAGACGTGTAGTAAATCTGGCTTTGGGACAGATGCTGTCTAAGCAGAGCAAAGTGGACACCATGCCGTGGCCTACTGAGTCCGTCTTTGGGCTTTATTAGATGTGGCAGGATGGCCTTAATGCCACTGGCGACAGTGTGGTGTGAGTGTGTGTGTGTGTGTGTGTGTGTTTGTGTGTGTGTGTGTTTGGCCTGACACTGTGTACGTGCAGGGCGTATTTCGTACTGTATTTGTACATTTTTTATTTGATTTTTCTGTCTGAAAAAGAAGCCCCTGTGTGTGCGTGTGTGTGTGTGTGTGTGTGTGTGTGCCAGAGGGTGTGTGGGCAGCCTGCGATGTGTTGGAGGAGCTCGTGCCGGCCAGGGCCGCCTGTTGTTAAAGAGAAACGGTCAGTTAGTCGGCCACACGAGTGACCGGTCAGTTACCGGCCTGGCGTTGCTATGAGCTGGCTTCCACCGCTGAATTCGGAGAGAAAGATGCACAGATAGGCGAATCAAAACTATTAATCTGTACTTTTTCTCCATTTCCCATCTCTGCCATTATTTCTCCTCCATCTATCTCCAGTGTTAGCCCTCCACTCCCCCCCTTATTTTTGTCATCTCCTCTTTGTTTCCTCTCTCCCTCCCTCCTTATCTGTCCATCTCGATTATTCTCCCCCCCATCATCACCCTCCTCCTCCTCCTCTTCCTCCTCCAGCCACGCCGGCCTTCTCTCACTTTCACCGCCTCCCCCCCCTCCCTGCCCTTCCCCTCTTCCCTCCGTCTTCGCTCAAACCTGTAAAAGTGTATCGAGCTCCTCTTTCCATCAGAAGCAATTCAATTAGGCCGTTGCCTTACAAGAATTTTTTTTATTATTTTTTTTAATGCTATCCAAATGGGCCCTGGCTGCTGGTGCTGCTGCAACCACTCCAGGATATTTCAGGGGAAGGCGATGGGAGGGGGGCTAGATATGGACAAATCTGCATTTATTTCAATTTGTTGTCAAGGTCTTCCCCCTCTTTTAAATAAAAAAAAGTAAAGTAACCTTTTCGCTCTAATGGGTGCATTAGCCTGGATGAAGAAAGGGTGAAAAGACAGCTTTGGGAAGAAAAGAGTGTTACAGTTTTTCTGGGTTGTCCACAAAAAAATGTTCAGTCATGCTTGAAAATGTCACACGTTGAAGTTCCCATGTTTTCCCGATGTCTATCTTCTGGAGACAGTTTAGTCTCAAACGGTTTCTCAGCCTGAAGCTTTGGGCAGGGCCGTCTTTTTTCTTTACCTTTTATCCACGTGGATCTCTTTGTCTGAATCACGCCGTTTAATCACTTTCATCTTGGGTTTATTTGCTTTGTGGAACAAAATGGTTACTCAGGCATTCCGTTCTTATTCACCATGTCTTTGTTTTTTTTTTTTACCTTTTGCATTTTTTTCTCCTCGGTCCCTTTTTTTTTCCCCTCTGGAGATTTCTGATAGCCGACTGTCTGTGTTTGTTGACTGTACCAGCCATCATGCGGTGACACATAACACACACACACATAACACACACACACACACACACACACACACACACACACACACACGGCGTGGATTTCACCCCCACACTCCTCTCAGACAGACTCTCGGAGGGCTCAGCGTGGCATCCAAACGACACCCTGGGCAGTGTGTTGGGACGCGTCCACTTGTGTGTTTCTGTCATGCTCAAACACGCTCGTGCACGCTGTGGAGTTTGTGTAGGAGGCGCACACGCAGATAAACGGGGCTCATGTATCAAAACTTGCCGACACACACACACATACACACACAGACATGCACTCTCCATTATTAGATTAACCTATTTGGAGATTAGAGGCAACTTGGAAAACAAAGCATCTTCAAAGGCAGAGAGAGAGAGAGAGAGAGAGAGAAGTGGGTGAATATGATGGAATAAGAAGAGAGGGCATCCCAGTAAAGGGAAGGGGAGTGAAGGGGAGAGAGGGGAGAGAAATCTCTGTGTTGTGATGCCCCAGTTGCCGATTTAGCTCTTCCGCCACTTATTTATCTTGATCGGTTGTCCTGTTTTATCCTCCGTTGACTGCGGTTTCTGGGCCCTCACAATAATGGGCCTACGACTGGCTGAGAGCGCCACAGTTTGACAGTCGTGAACGCACTCGAGTGCCCACTCCTGCTTTACTTCCTCTGTTATGAGGAGGACCTGCTCATGAGCGTCTAAAGGACCCCAGGTCAAGTTGCTGCCACTGAATCTGAAGAATGGATTCAACTTGCCCCTCCGGTGGCTGTGGGGGTGGGGGGTGGGGAGGGGAAAGGGGAGTGGGGGTGGGTTAACATGTAGAGATGATTCACGATCTTTTTTTTTGGGATAAATCATTCATTGAGAAATCTCATTAGATATCCAAAGTCATTAAAAAAGAGATACAGTGGG